CAGCCCAGGTGAGCCCAGCCAGGTGAGCCCAGCCCAGGTCCAGGTCCAGCCTGGCCCTCCCTGATTTTGGCAGAGCCAGGGCAGCCCCTCCTCCGGGTGCTCTGTCATTCCAGCAGCATCCCCTGCCCGCTCAGGCAAAGATTCCCAGGATAACAGAGGTGAAAGCTGCTCCCAAATCCTCCCACACCTGGGCCACCCAGGAGCTGCCTCGGGGCACATTCCTGCTGCCATCTCCAGATCCAGCAGGATCTGAGCTGGGATCTGAATTCCAAGAGCCCAGACCAAGCCCAGGCTCCCGGCTTCCAGCACCGGGAATGCTCTGGACACACCAGGACACAGAGGGGGGTCTGCAGCACGGCAGGACCTGTCCTGGAGCAGGAGGAGAGAGGCAGGAGGGCTGTGTGCCCCCAGGGAATGGTGTGGAACACCTGGATGGCAGGAACAGAGGCCACAGCCCAGCCCAGGCTCCACAGGCTCCCGGGATCCTGAGCTTCCCAGGGCAAAGCACACAGCAAAACTGAGCTGGAATCCCAGAGCCCAGCAACAGGCAGAGCCCAGCAACAGGCAGAGCCCAGCAACAGGCAGAGCCCAGCAACAGGCAGAGCCCAGCAACAGGCAGCTGAACACCGACCCCAGAATGGACCAGGGGTTGGTGGGCCCCAAAAAAGCACAGGAAGGGAAAGGAAGCACTTAGGGAAGAGAACTCCTGGGAGCAGATAAGGACAACGTGCCAGGGGAAGGAGACAAAGGCCAAGGCAAGGCCCTTGTTCCTCCCCTCCCACTGCACAGGACAGCACCCTGGGAGCCAAACTGCCCCTGTCCTCCCTCCTCTGTCCCGGTTTTACCATGGAACAGGACACTGCAGGTGTGGAACATCCCTCCAGCCAGGTCTGGAACATCCCTCCAGCCAGGTCTGGAACATCCCTCCAGCCAGGTCTGGAACACCCCTCCAGCCCCTCCAGGCTGCAGCCCTGCCCTTCCCAGCCCAGGCTGCAGGGAAGGCCTGACCTCAGCCAAGCTCAGCTCAGCCCAGACCCGCCTGGTTCAGCCACAGATGCCAAGCACAGCTCCCAGGAAGAGGGAACTCCAGCCCTGCCAGAGCCAGGGCCGCTGGAACACCACCATCAGCCATGGGATCCACTGAACTACCCCCAAAACTGCTCCAGCC